CTCTGCCTAGATTTCTTCTCCCTGAGCTGATGATTGAGAATTTCCTCTAGACTGTTGTTGTTAGGTGCTATCAACTTTCTTATAAAAGCAAACAGTATGTGGTTCTGCATTCTCTTTACAATAACTGCTATTTCCATATTCACTGTTGTGGCCACTGTTCAATCTACTGTGTTGAGGGTCCCCCTCTTTTTTTGCTGACCCTCTTGATAGTAAGCTGGGGAAACTGTAGAGCTCTTTCTCTTGCTTCTAATCTCTCACAAGACACAGTTCTAGCCTGTTTGCTGTCAGTGTCTGAAGACTTGTTTGATACATTTTGTCTGTTTTTCTGATTGTTTAAAGTGACAGTTAAAGTTCTGCTTACTCCATAAGGATCAGTTAAAAATTGGAACTTGGTTTAGAAGCAAAAGTCATGGGATTGGATATCCTGATGGAACTCAGTAAAAAGGTATATTACTATCTTCTCAAGATTTTAAGGTTTTAGGGGAGGATTTAAATAAGCTTCATTTTAGATGGCTAGAGACTTCATGCTAATGAGTGAAAGATTGAAGGCATCAAAGCCAACTTCCTATACAGAGAGGCCTGAGTTATAAAATGCAACATGTGAGCACCTTGTGTATGAAAACACTTGGTTCCACTTACTGTGATGCTTTGCCACTTACCACCTTCCCCACCCCTGCACTGCTCTGTCCTTTCTCTGAGAATACAAAAGCAGGACTCAGTTGATACTTGCTACCATCTGGAGACAGAAGTAGTGACCTGTCTTAAGCAACATATTTTTCCCAGCTGCTCTTTTCTTTCCTCTTAAGTTTGATAATGCACACACATGCCACACTCCTGCCTTTTCTTCAATATTTCACCACACACAATTTACTCAATACCAAAACAGGCGAGTTCTTTCTTTCATATACATACCCAAAACCATACTTTAACTGATGCTCTTATTTGCACTTCTAAATCTTTTCTTGTTAGGTTACAATACTTTTCCCACACACACTTCTTCTCTGTTTGGTCTATTAGTAAGCCAGATGAACACTGCTCATAACCTGACCGCCATTCTAGCTAGTGTTACAGCTCTGCATCAGGGAAATCAGAATAAAATATCCTAAAAAAATCAATTTCTATTACCTTCTGAGCGTCTTGGATAACTGCCTGAAAATGTCAACATTTATTCAGTTAATATCTTCCAAGTCTATCCATTTTTATTCAGATATATTTAATTTAAAAAATATTTTATATTGGTTTGCACACAAAATTCATATACATTGTTTCATATTGTATCACATTGTTTCATATTATTCCCATTCATTCTTTTATAAAATAATAATCATTGAGCTATTAGATATATAAATCACATGTATATATCATTATTTTTACCAATAAAATTTCAGTAGGAGAAATAATAAAAATTAAAAAAATCCCACTACAAACGAATGGATTGAGAAATTATGGTCCATTCACACAATGGAATACTATGCAACATACCGAAGCAATGATTTTGTAAATTATTACCTAACTTGGGAGGGACTGGAGAGCATTATGCTAAGTGAACTAACTCAGTCCCACAAGGACAAATATTGTATAAAACCATTATTGTAGAATCAGTATAAGGATGAGGTTGGGGGGAGGGTGGTAGTAGAGGGATGAGGATGTACTGTATGGGGAATAATCATGGAATTGTACAATCTGATGTGTGGTGAGGTGAGGGAAATTGGAAGAACCTGTTCTGCAAAACCATGTATTTGAATTTTGTAAATAAACTAGTTGTTGCTGTTATGTGCCGTCGAGTCGTTTGCGACTCATAGCGACCCTATGCACAACAGCCCTAAACCTTGCTCTATCCTGCGCCAACTTCACTGCCTCTGACACGCCCATCCCAATTACCCCAGTCACCGAATCAATCCATCTCATAGAGGGTCTTATGCAAAAAATGATTACAACTCAAATTCTAAGCAATAGCCTTTAGAAATAGACAAATCTATTTAATAGGATTTTAGATAGAAGATAGTGGTAACTGGAGATTAGGCAAACCTTTATGTAACAATATTTATCTCTAAAATGAGGAATTGATAGAGATTAGGCATAACAGGAAAAACTAAAAAAGCTAGGTAGAAACCTGTGCTTCTTTTATCACGTGTAATTTAATGTTCACCACTACCACACCATTCATTCCTATCAAGTCCACTCTGGCTTATCAGGTCCCTCCATAGGATTTTGAAGGCTGTAAATCTAAACTGGAAGAAACTGTCCATATTTCTTATGAGTAATATGATAAGAGTGGCTGGTGGATTTAAACCAATGACCTTTGGTTAACAGTAAATGCCACGAGAGTTCCTTAGTTCAGGGTCCACTCATTGGTGCTGAATTTGAACCAATTCCTGGCTTACCCTTCAGTAGTTTTTCAGAGGCTGTAAATAGAATGCAAGGAGACTGCCCACCTTTCACTCACAGACCAGATGATGGATTCACACTGCCTGCATTTAGAATAGCAGACCAACTTTTTATTCACCAGAGATCTTTTTTGGTGTTTTTCTTGGCACCATCAAGTCAGAGTTGATGGATAGTTGGCTTTTCATCAGGTTTTCAGAGCCAGTATGTTGCCCAGGAAGAGACTGCATCTTTTTCTTATGGCTGGTGCATTTGGAGCTTGTGCCTTTGGGCTGGCAGCACAGCTTCTTAATACTAAATCACCAAATCTCCCTAATTTAGTTTAGGAAATAATAAATGTATAGTAATGGCAGAAGAATTGATACCTTTGAGTTTTGGTGATGGAGGAGTATCTTAAATATATCATGGACTGCCAGGAGAAAAAATAGTTCTGCCTTGGAGTGGGTGAAACCAAGTTTCTCCTTAGAGGCAACAATTTTGAAGCTCTCTCACATATTTTGGCACATGGAGAAGGATATCATGCTTGGAAGCGTGGAGGCAGCACAGGAGAGGGAGACTCCAGATTAGATGGATTGACATGGTAACTGAGGCAATTGATTTAGGTGTGTCTGAGTCAGTGAGATTTATTTAAGAGAGGCCCCAGTTCAGAGCTGTTGTACTAGGGTTGGATGAGTAACCGGCAACTCCATGGCACAGAACAACAACAACAACAAATAAATACAAATTAATATGCATCCCTTCCTTGATTTTACTTATTCTGTTATTACGATATATGAGAAAGTTTAAGTTCTTATGCTGATGGGCATCCTTCATTGAGACTAGTCTTTAGCCTTATTAACTTGTGTATAAAAAATAAAGTGTGTTAGGGTTTTCGTCTAGTTTTTAATTTTGTAAATTGAGTACTATAAAAAGAAGTGTGTAGGTTCCTAATCCAAATATGTCTTGGGTATTTAAAAATCTATATCCATTACTTGAGTTTTAGAGATTTTACAAGAGAAAGTTTGAAGAGAAGCACACCTAGAGTGTCTCTGGTTTGTTTTTAAATTCTGTTCTACTCAAAGAAAGTATTCTAGGACCCAGCTTATTCAAACAATGGCTTTCCTTTGAAATAAGATCGCCTGTCTCCCTTAAAGGCATAGGAGTCACCTTTGACACCAGCTATAGAAGGTAAAACAACAAAGGATATGGGGAACCAACCTTAGTGCTGAAAAAAAAAAAGTCTGGCCTAGTCCAGAGGATGCGAAGGGTGGGTTAGATCAATCATTCTCGAGTCCTGCTGTAATGATGTGAAGTGGAGGAGGGAAAGGCTGGAAAAGGAAGTAGGGACAGTGAAGAGGTGAAGAAAAAGGAAGCAGGAATACTGGGTTGAACTAGCACATGAAGACAGAGCTAGAACACACACACAAAAAGCAAAACAATCTTACCAGGTGGTCTGAGAGTTTTATAACAAAATATTTAATAGAGTTCTTCGTCACCTCATCCCAGTAGAGTGTGTCTATGAGAGAAAAGAGAGACTGATAGCATAAATGCAAAGGAATAGGGAGGAGCTCTGAGAACTCAGGATGTCTACTGTCTTGGGAACTTCGAAGCATCCTCCATGACGAATTACATTAACTCCGCGTTTACAAAATAGGGAGAGAAAAAGATGGGCAGGAAAATCAAAGACTGGTAAACGAGGCACAGCTTTGTGCTCAGGTCTGCATTAGGTTTTGCTTTGTGCATTACGTGGGGAGAGGGAGACTGGACAAAAGGAGGAGCCAGAGGGAGGGGCTGGGGTGGGGAAGGGGAGGCACTTCTACCTGCACACACCTCCCCTGAGGGGTAGGATACAAATCAGGTCTTCCAGCGTGGCCAATCAGGAGAAACGTGAGAGAATTTTGGGGTCCCACTTCCCGAACCTAGTGTGAGCGTGTGTGCGGTGGTCTGGGACCTTTGTGCCGCAACATCATGCAAGGCAGGCACCCTTCGGCCCCCTTTTCAGGCCTTCAGATCTACTTTATTCTTTCCTGCTGCACACTGCACTCCTTGAGTGGTGACTACCCGTCCACCCCCATCACGCACACCGATTCCCTTAGGCACTGTGATGCCGATGTGCGTGAGGAACTTTGCACCCCCAGTTGCTGAGGCAGCAGCACTAGCTCCCGCCCGCTGCGCGCCGGTGCGGGCGGAGAACCTTGGCTCGGACACCGCCGCGCTTCTGCCCCCGCCGGGCAGTCCTCCTCCTGTCCCGAGGCAACATTGCCCGCCCAGCGCTTCCCGGCTCTCGGCTGACTGTAGGTCTGTCCTGTGGGGCTCAGGCTCTTGCCTGCTCGGCCTCTGAAATTCCTGCAACGTCCAGAACACAGAAAATAGAGTCATCACCTAATTCTCCAGGGAACTCCCCGGCACAGCAGGGGCCCCGGCGCTGCCTCCCGCGCTCCTGCCCCCACCCCACCCCCGTGAGTCCTCGGGCGGTCTCAGGCCGACATCGCGAGGGATCCCCCCTCCCCCGGCAGACAAAGGGCCTGGGCAAACTCGCCGCCCGGCCTCCCAGCGCTCCAGGAGGCGGCGGCGCCCTCAGTTGATCGCTCAGGAGGCGCGCACCGGGCGAGGAGCCGCGGCGGCGGGAGCGCGGCATGGGGAAGAGCCGCGAGATGCGCTTGACCCACATCTGCTGCTGTTGCCTCTTTTACCAGCTGGGCTTCCTGTCGAATGGGATTGTTTCAGGTAAGTGCTTTGGTGACTTTTCGGCTGACTTCCCAACTTCCCCAGCGGATTTGGGGAACGCACAGGAAGGTCGGATTGGTGCAGACCGCGAGCTGGATGGAAGCTGGGCTCAGTTGAGTTGCAATGAAAATGGGCATGTTGGTCTGTTTCTGGGGTGACGCTCATGAGCGAAGCGCACTTCTTCCAGCCTCATTTTAATTATCTGGTGCATGACGAAATTCTTCCCTAATGAAAGTAGTAATTTTGCAAAGGGGTGTTTACCCCACCTGGAGGGAAACTGGGAGGTACGTAAATTGATAGCGATGCTTTGCTCTGGCATATGCTTAATAACTTAATTGTGCTGGAATCTTTACACTGATTTTCCTTTCAGTAACTAAGTTCTGTCACCAAATCTTCCCGTGCCCATCCCCAAATAGAATCGCACTTTTATTTTGAAAATGCGGGGGTCCGTAATCTGATCGCGAGCTCTCCGGGGTTGCAGGAGTTCCTCGCACAGGAAAGGTGGCCCCAAATGCCTTAACACTTAGAAATTTGTTGTGTGCTGAGAGTGAGTTTGGAAATGCTTGTGCTACTGGAAGTGCGGCACTTCAAACCCCGCACTTTGCTGTCTGCCCCGCCCGCAGGGCTGCAGTTCGCCCCAGACCTCGAGGAGTGGGAAGTAGTGTTTCCTGCACTCTGGCGCTGGGAGCTGGTGGACGCGGCCGGCGGCAGTGGGGGCAGCGCGGCCCCGGGCTGTGTGCGAGGCGCCGGGGGCACCGGGGGCG